ATATCCTGGTAAGCTGTTTCAAGGATGGACTGAGTGATAACATCTACAATGCCTGCGTTGCCTGAGGTGCACCGAACCACCTACATAAATGGTAACTCTCAGTTAAAGAGACTGAGATCAATATGGCCAGAAACCAGTACTGAGTGGGACGAGCGTGGAAGAAATCCACACCTCAATGGAAGCAAGAGCCTTTCAATCCGCATTCTTCTCCGAAACTCTCACCCTGTTTCAAGTGTGGAAAGGAGGGGCATCGAGCTGCAGAATGCCGTTCTCAAGCACCGGCTAGGAAACCAGAGCACCCATTGGGGGGGAAACCTACGAAACCTGGCCAGCGCGGGAAGGAGACGGCCCTGAGGAGCAGGGAGATCATAGAGTTTCCACCCCTCCCCTCTTTGAGGAGGAAACTCTGGCTTCTCAGCAGGAGGAACCAAATTCAGGATGCACCTGCTGTTTGATCAGCCCAATTCTGGTAGGAAAGTTGAGGATTAATGTAGGAAAACTGAAAAGCCCATTGCTTTTTTCCAACTAGAAAGGTCAATAGCAGAGGGGAGCCAGCTTCTTTTGCCACTGAGCCTCTACAGATAGGCATCGGGAGCCATGAATAAATACTTACATTTATAGTGGCATCTGGCATGGAATGGCTGCAAGTCTTGGATCTTGCATGGCTGAAAAAATGTAACCCCAAAATTAATTGGAAGCAAGGTACCATAAAAGTGCAGGTGCATATGACTTTTGCTGAGAATCCACATAAAGAAACTGAGGGGGCAGAGCACTGAGAAACAGCAATGGCTGCTTACACCATGCCAACCCATGGCTCAAAACGTCTCTGTGTGGATTTTAGAAATTTAAAAACAATCAGTGTGGAGAGCATGTACCCTTCTCCCTTATAAAAAACATGCTAGCAAACCTCACTAAAGGGGGGGGGGAATCAAAGCTGGACTTAATGGAGGCTTACTACCACATCAGAATTAAGGAGGGGGATGAGTGGGTGTTTAACACCCCCCCCTTGGGTGCTACCAATTCAAAGTGCACCCATTTGGGCTACAGGGGCCTCAGCACTGTTTAGGCAATTAATAAATGAAGTGCTACATGAACATTTGTATAAGGGGATCTTGGTTTATTTAGATGACATTTTGATATATACCAAGACCAAAGCAGAACATGTAAAACTAGCCCAGGCTGTTCTAAACAAACTCCACTCCACCAAACTCTCCACTAAACTCTCTGAATGTGAATTCCATCAAAAAAATTAGTTAGAGTACTGCATTTCATACCAAGGCGTAAAAATGGACCCTCTAAAAGTGCAGGCGGTACTTGGTTGGGGACCACCACACACACGTAAACAGTTACAAAGTGTTAATTCATAAAGCATTTCCATGTTTGTTATCAAGTTGCCATGGTAAGGAAAGCGGGGGAGCACATTCCACGCATACCTTCGGTTAGAGTTGGATCTCAAATTACTATAGCAGGCTTGTGAGGTGTGGAATTTTACAACCTTCTGCTGCACCTTGTTGGAGAATGTGATTTATGACACAGACTGAGGGGAGGGGAGAAACAGGGGCAAGGTTCAGCCATAACCTAAGTGAAGTCAGATCTGACTGCAATGGGGCATTGCTGAAATGGTGTGCATAATAAATGACTGGATTTCTTTTGAAACTTGGCTCAAGGCTCATGAATTAATTAGAGCATTTTTCAGAAACCTGACACAAAGCTTCCTGGGATTCGCCAACTTTTATCACCAGTTTATTCCCACTTTCGCTCAGATTTCCCTCCCCATCACTAAGCTTTTAAAAATGAAAGGGGAGGGTAACCCAAAATCAAAGTAGCCTTTGACCTGGACAATGGAATGCCAAGCTGCATTTGAAAAACTTAAATGGCTGTTTTCAGCAGAGCCAATTCTAAAGCACCTGGACACAGAGAAACCATTCATCATACAAGTTTCTATCTTTTCACAGGTGCATCTCTCCTTTTTCTAAGAAAGGCAGCATGTCAGATCCCTAAAAGTGATATTGCCATTCATTTAGGAAAAGGGGGGCTTGGAGTCAATTTATTAGCAGTGCCTATGACAACTGATATTTTACAATTGGCTTCCCGGCACCAAAGCACCCAGAGATCTCCTCACCTTGGGGGGGGGGGATGTTTATGATGGCCACGTGGAATGGTTCACTTTAATGTTTAACGGAAGATAGCCATGGGAATGTATGCTTATCCGGTTCTCAGGGCAGCTTGTAAAGGAACCACCTTCACACTTGTGTATTGGTTAAAATCTGCATTCTGATTAATGGAAGGGGTCTCTACTGCTTTAATTCTACTTGCTTTGCCGAAGGGGATTCAGACGTTGCTTTGAACTTATTGTTTTCATTCTGCTTAATAAAAGCTTCCTTCTGAAATACTTCATTTCAAGAGTCTTCACTTTCATAAGTTAGAAGGAGAGGGGTTAGACTAGAAGACCTCACAGGTCCCTTCCAACTAATTATTGTGGTTGCTAGAGGCCAAACTCACAGCAGGCAACAGCACGTGGGCTCATCTCAAACACCTAAGCAGAGTTTACCCTGGTGGCTCTTTGGCTGGAAGAACATGAAAAAAACACCACTGCCACTGTGGGCCAGGTATCTATCTTGAAAAATAGACCATGAGTAATTATTTTGAATAATTGGCTTGAAAACACAACTAGGGGGCATAAGTAAGACTGGAAATTGAGCTGACTCAAAGGAGATTTTCTTTTATGTTCTCTAGATCAGCGTAGATACTACGGTATTTACTATACACGTCATCCAGTTCACCACCTGCAGATTACTCACTAATACAGTGGGAAGAGAGACCTGCCTGAAGGAAAGGATTTAACCAGAGATTTCCTAACTTGTATTTCTACAAGCCTGAATTCTGTATCAGTTCTGGAGATCAGTTCTTTTCTTTGCTCCAAGTAGTAAACCCAATTTAATAGCAGTAATGCCTACAGTAACAGATCATCTCAGTCTGGAATCAACCATCTTCTGAACCACACATCACACAGCTGAAACATTTTCATGTTGTTGTTTTTCCTCCCGTCATTGACGAAAACTTTGGAGAATTTGGAACTCCACCACTTATGTTGGTCCTAATGAATCTCCTTAACCATCATGCAGACAAGAGTCCATAACAACCAAAAAAGAAACAAACCCCAATGGAAGGATTGGAAAAATAGAGGTTTATAAGCAGTGGTATTGCAGAACTATGCTTGAGTGGTGGTTTCTAATAATTCATTGATTCCTTGGGATTTTTGTGACTTCTTCTGACAGACTGAAAGTAACATACTTTCATTTAACCATTTGTTTGTGTACATGATGTACTTTGTGGTTATTTAAAACAATGTTTTAACAAAGTTTGTAAATAAATTGGTTGAATTTGTGGAAATGCAGCCTTAAGAGAACCTTAATAAATGCATGTTGTTAAATAGGGTGGCTTACTACTTACTCTTACTACTTACTGTTAAATAAAGGCTTACAATGCTGTCCAGGGTTATGTCTTTTTTGTTTTAATGTTGGAAGATAATTTGCTTAAACCAGGCGTACTGAAATGTAAAAGAATATGTCCCTTTCCCACTGTACCAAATATCCCCTTGGTGCCAATAGACTGCACGAGTGGGTGTAAAAATATGCATTTACTAATGGCTTCAGGAGGAAAGAAAATTTAAGATTTTCTCCCATTCTGTACTGGCGTCTCCCAGTTCAGAATGGACACTCCTTTATTAAAATGCTTTCCAAGAATTGCTTTTCCATAAAGGCAGAATGCAGAATCACTGTCAGACGTGCCTCCTTCAAAATTCAAGAAAGGAAACCCCCAACTCCATTATTTTAGATAGAAGGTACTTTTACTGAATATGAAGTGAAAGCATCGAAATTAAAGCAAGATCTGAGGGTAAAGGTGCGAAATTGTACATATCCAAAGTTTACCCAAATCCCTCCCCCCAACAACCCCAAGCTGAATGTCCAATTTCCAGCCCCCAAGGGTGTCATGTGGGGTGCATCTTCAGGTGGCTTAATCAATCTGGTATGTAGAGATGGTTGACCTTGACCAGACCTAAACAAGACCATTCAGCATGTGCAGAAGATGGTGAGAACTAAACTCCCTCATTTCTCTGAGATATCTCCTCCAGCACGCTTCCCCACCCAAATACCGAAACCCCCTCTCCCCCCGCCCCGCACATTACTATGGCAGCCAATAGCAAGAAAATAAGAGGCTGACAATCACAAATCCAGATGCAAAGCAGATCTATTTTTTTCTCTCTTTCCTTCCTTCCTCCCAATCTTTTTTTTTTTCATCTTTCTTCCATCTTTCCTTTCTTCTTTCCTCCCGATTTTTTTCTTTCCTTCCTTCCTTTTTCCTTTCTTCTTTCTTTCTGTCATATCTCCCTACTTCTTTTTCCTTCCTTCCTTCCTTCCCCTTCCCTTCCCTCTTTCCTTTCTTCCTTTTCTTGATAGTAATCTTAAGACATCAATATTTGTCTACGAATTTGTCTTTTCGCCCTGTTTGATGAATGAGAGCTTTGGGAATGATTTCGATTGAAGAAAAAAGCGCTGTTTGAAATATTTTCTAATTTTGCTCGTTGGATTGATTTAGCTCTATAGAGAGATGATACAGAACTTTCCGCTCCACCTTCCTCATAATCACAATAAGAACCATTGGATTTAGGTTGTGAGCTGGAAGTAAATGGCCCAAAGTCACCTTTCCACTGCTGAAGGTAGACTATCCAGTCACCATTCAACACCTTAATTGTTACATCTTATAAACTTTTGTTCTGCCGAGTCCAAGTGCTGCTCCAATAAGATATGTCCATATGTTGTTATTATCAAAAATGATAATATTCTGAAAAGGCCTCCAAGGTGATCACTACTTACCATTTTTAAGAAGATGTATAGTTTGACTTTCAGGCCTGAAATTATCCAGCCACACTAGACGGCATTCGAGACATGGAAAGTTTGCACACTGGGTTTTCAAAAATCATAACCAGAACTACGTCATTTAAACTTCCAAACAATGTTTATTAAGCTTTCCATCATCCCTCTGATGCCCTGATGTACCCTAATGTTTTGTTCCAACTGGAAAGGATCTAGGTCAGATCTTCAAATTTCAGATCTGGCCTTTCATTGACCCAGTAAAACAAAAACAGAAGGAATCAGTGGTGTCTGAAGAGCAGATGGAAAGGACTACTAGGAGCTGGACTTTATGATGAGGGGATTGGGAGAAATTGACAACCTGGCAGAGATACGGCCTATGTTTGCGTGGCAACATTAGCATTTGCAACAAAAAAAGAAAGGGTGCTTTATTCTCCACGGTCTGAAGGTTGCGCTTTGATCTTCTTGACAGCATCAAGGACAGCATCAAGGCTGACTTTGTCTCCAAATTCTTTCTCACGGTGTTCCAAGAGAACCCCCTGAAAAAAGACACAGAGCTCAGGAACAGGTTTTTCCCCAAAAACTACAATCTGAAAACTCTTTAACATCTCCACAATTCATTTAGTTATCCCCTTCTGGGCTTAGGAAGAGTTTTATACTGAGATTTTTAAATTTAAAATCATTGATATTGTCAACTTCCCATTATCCATGTTAAATTTTATAAAATTATTTATTTATTTATTTATTTATTTATTTATTTGCAAAATTTATAGGCCGCCCAATCCCGCAGGACTCTGGGCAGCTAAATTAAATAGAAATCTAGTTGCCACACAAGAGACAAGATTTATATCACCAAAATAACAATTAAAATAAATGGAAACGTGGAGAAAGAGAAAAATAGATAGAGAATGACAGAGAAGGAGAGAGGGAAAAGAGGAGAAGGAGAAAAAGAGAAAGGAAGATAGAAAGGAGACAGCAAGAGGAAGAGAAAAAGATAAAGAGAAAGAAAGGAGAGAAACAGAAGGCGAAAAAGAAAGCAAGAGAGGCAGAAGGAGAGGGAAAAAGAGAAGGAGAAAAAGAAAGGGAGAAAGAAAAAAGGAGAGACAGAAGGAGAAAAAGAGCAAGAGGGAGGTAGAGAAAGAGAGAGGAGGAGGAAAAGACTATGGGGGAAATAGACACACAGAAAGAGAGAAGGGAGAGTGTGCGGGAAAAATAGAAGAGAATGAGGAAGACAGAGAAAGAAAGAGAAGGAGAGAAAGAGGCAGATATTGAGAAAAAGAGAAGGAGAGAGGGAGGGAGGGAATGTGTGCATGTGGGGGAGAGAGAGAGAAAGAGAGAGGGAGAGGGAGATCCTTCAATCTGGAGTAGAAAGCCAATTGCCAAGGTCCTTTTTCATGGGCTGAAAGCTGCAGAGAAGTGAGTCTCCCAGGCCAGACACAGAATACATGGTGTTCCCAGCCCCATTTCTCCACTCTTCTACCTGTTTGCCTGGGCCAATCACAAAGACCCCTCCCAGGATCACGCCTTCTCCATCGATGTTGCCGGTGTAGCCACTCCTCCAAGCGCGCCAGAAGTTCCTCCAGACATTCCAGCGGAAAATAGCCAGGAACATCATCGTTCTTCTCTGAGGACCGTAGAATTTTCTCTGGAAAACAAGATGAGAAGGAACTCAGCTCCAAACTGGAAGTCTTCTTATAGAGAAGACCTCCTCAAAAATGACCCACTGGTCTTGGGAAAAAAAGAAATAGAATCCAACCTGATTGGTAGAGGTATCCGTCGACTTATGAGTCCCCAAATTCTCATTGCTAAGCGAGTGACTCCTTGGACACTACAACCATCATAAATATGAATCAGTTGCTGACTGTCTGAATTTTGATTAAGTGACCATGGGGAAGCTGCAATGGTTGTTTGAAAAACAGTTGCAAGATGTTTTTTTCATTGCTGTTGTAACTTCAAATGGTCACTAAACAAACTGTTCTAAGCCAAGGATGACCATGTTTTCACGAAAATAACACCCAACCGGGAAAATAGCCCTAATACGTCTTTTGGAGCAAAAAATAATATAGCAATAGCAATAGCAGTTAGACTTATATACCGCTTCATAGGGCTTTCAGCCCGCTCTAAGCGGTTTACAGAATCAGCATATTGCCCCCAACAATCCAGGTCCTCATTTTACCCACCTCGGAAGGATGGAAGGCTGAGTCAACC